CCCCCCCCCCCCCCGTATATAAGCCCACCCTTGTGTAAGCCCATCAAAAGTCGCTTTATACGAAAGTATATAAGCCCTGGGCTTATAGTCGGAGGTTTACGGTATTTTGCTGTTTGCTATCGCGCACCTGACCCCAACTTTTTTTAAGAGTTCTTGCACGGGTCAGGACAAAAAATGAGCCATCTTGAATATCAGTGATACCACTATAACCTCAATGCAAAGCGCTACGAAAACGTAATAAGGGGAATCGTCAATTGCACTCTTCCGAAATTTGATAGTCTTGAAAAACCCTATACTAATTGCACTGCCCTTAGCCATTTTTTCAGCTATGTATTATTGATTTCATAACTTCTATGTTTAGTGTTGCTGTATTGAATCCTGAGTTTCTGGAGCTGCCAGTGCAAGCCATCGAATGTAGCCTCACAAACTTATCGTCTTCAGAGAAGAAGAAGAACAAGTTCGTTCACAAATTTCTGGAAAAGGTCAATGGTAAAGAACTTGTGTGTCGCATGGACGAGCGCGACAGAAATGGCAAATACTTGGTGTTAATTATTGACGCAGTCGAGGGCGGCACTGTCAATATTAACGAGGAAATGGCCGAATTTATCGCTAGTGGCAAAGGTATGGTTATTCTTTTCTTATTATTACTTATTAAGAGGCGATTTTTTTCAAGGTGACGTATGTGCGATAAAAGTGTTCAAAGCCGAACATCTTTTGGCGTACCTCTTGAAAATTGCTTTGTTTTACAACTACCTGAAAAATACAAGGACAATTTCGACGTTTTGAGCGAAGGGTTACAAAGAAGATGCTGCTCTAAGATTTTAATCTCCAATCCAGTGGAAAACCAAAGGATTAGAGATTACACTGCTCAAGGTGCATAATGATGCACCTTGAGCAGTGTAATCTCTAATCCTTTTGTATAGTTAATGCCGAAAGGCTGATGTAATATTATACCCCCGATTCGAGTCATCTCAGCCTATCGTTATTTCAGACTTTAGAGACCTTACGATTTTAGGACGGCAACGCGACGACGACGGCCAAAACAAACTCCTTCAAATAAATGGTAGTAAAGATAGTTCGTCGTATATTATTAATCTATGAATTTAATACAGTTTTAGAAGTTGAAGACATGGGTTTTATGGTTGGGACGAGTTCTGCTAAACCCAGTTTGACGTTGCACTTGTTGTGGCTTGGCATGCAGCCGTTGTATCAAGACGTGAAAATCTGGGGCCAGTTGTATAACAAAGTGATTAAAGTTAACTATAATTAAGTGCAAACGTCGTCCAATAAGAAGTGCGTTAATCACTATTTAACTACAAAATAGTGATTAAAAAAGTGATTACGAGTGTTATACAACCGGCCCCTGTGATTTAGCGTTGTGAACAGAGCGAGGACAATGTCTAAATTATTCATATATTGTAATTACTCAATTCTTTTCAATGATTGCTGCCGAGCGAAGCGAAGGCAGCCACCTATTCTTGACGACGTTTACTGTTTTTACTCGTGCCAGATCCCCGCGCGACCTATGTATTTTAGCCAAAGCAATCTCGATTTGTTTGTCGTTCGTTCGTTCGTTCATTCGGGTCGCATTTTCTGACGTCACGAGAATGGCGTTGTGTACATTTATATACGCAGGAAGTTTACGATGACAATCTGATCACTTCCGAAAGCTGTGTTCGGTGCACCGTAGCTTCATAGGAGCTATGACATTTAATGTCAAAATGACCATTTGGGATTCGCATATTTTTCCACTGTGGTACGAATGCACGAGGCTTATTTTACAATATTACTATTTGATTCTGGAGGAAAAGAGTTATATTTTTGAAGGTATGTTGATAAAAATAGTTATTTGAACGTTTGAATACTTATATATGTAAATAAACGTCATAGTCTGTTTTTAATTCATTTATATAAAAATTCGAATTCTATCTCCTCCAGGTGTATATTTTGGTGTGTGTTCGTGGCGATCATTTGGTCAAATCAAATCAAAAGGGGCCGTTCATATTATGTTTTTCAAAAAAACAATGAATTGTGAACTCGATGTACCTGTACCAAACTTGCCAGGAATGTGTGAACTCGCTATATTTTATACTTTATACTTTATACAAGCGAAGTGTGATCTCGCTAGCTGGGCAATCGTTGACGTTGGCAATAATAAAGTTGTATACTGAGAATGTCAAAAGATCAAGCCAACAAGGTATTGTATATCAAATTTTACAAATATATAGGTTGTATGGCAATTAGAAAATTGCCAATAAAAATAGATGTATATTGCACTAAAATGATTATTAATATTGTTATTATGGGAATATGATACATTGCAGTATAAAAGCCCTGCATAAAAGAACCAGTGAATTTTGACTTCAGGCTGAAGTGGTTCTTTAATCTTTATATATAATCTTAGTTCACACTATACTTTTTTATATTCTACACATTAAATAGGGACTGTTGTTGCATAAAACT